CACAATGCTGACAGATCTTGTCGCATCCTGCTGTTGGAACTTGAGGAGGAGCCTGAGTCATCGGCCTAGGTCTCTTGTTCTATTGAACAGGTGCAGTAACTGCTGGTCCGGGGTGTGGGGCTGAGGACCTGAGATTCCCTACTGCTTGAAGGAATGTGCAAAGACTCTTCTCCGCTAATTGTGCCTTGGCCAGAACAGTCGAATAAGTACTGAGCTCGAGTACAAACACAAACAACTGCTGTCTGATCTCAGGACAGAGACCCCACTCGAACCTTCTAGCCTTTCTCCCTTCATCCATCATACTCTCAGGAGAAGATCGACCCATCTCTAGGAACTTGTGAGTATATTCTGATACAGTCATGTCCCCTTATACTAAGTGTGCAAACTCCATTTCCTTCAGATGTCGAAGATACTCTAGGAGGTACTCTGCATGAAAGGCTGTCAGAAATTGTTCCCAAGTAACTGGAAAGTGTAGGGTGGTCTGCATGAGTTGCCACCAGCGGTCTGCTTCTCCTACTAACATGTAGGCAGCAAGGATGACCTTCTATTCGAGAATCACTCCAAGGGTCTTGAAGACATTCTCTATCTCAGCTAACTAGAACTCGACCTCTTTAAATGACGATCCCCCTGCAAAAGTAGATGAATTTAGTTTTTTATACATTTCTATGTAGACTGGGCCCATTATGAGAGGAGCTGGGTCCCGTGGATGAGGGACTGGACTGTGCTGAGGATGGACTGGATGGCCTGGTAGTGGTACTTGATGATACGATGGAGGCACCAAATTGTACTATGGTGGTGCCGGGTGACATAGTATCTGGGACACTAGATTATACTGTAGTGGTGTCGGGTGGTACTATGGAGGAACAGGGTCATATCGGGATGGCTTGGGATCCTCCCGCTGTAGGGGTGGCTCAATCTGTGGCAGCGGGGGAGGGTCAGGTAACTCCCTCATTTCCTCCCGGGCTGCTCGGTTTAATGGGGGTCTTCCTCTTTTCATCTATCTGTACCTACATTTCATAAAGAACGGTTGAGTGACAATTCATTATTTTTTGTGTTTCCTAAGGATTTGTGTAAGGAACAAGTCCGAGGAACGTAGTATTAACTGTAACGACTCCGGAATGTCTAAAGAAAATAAATTATAAATTAAGCGCATAAGTGAAATAAATGGTTAAGATTTACATTCCTTATGTAATAACTTAAAGTATCGAATAATGTTATGGGAATTACTCTTTTGAAAGAAATACAAAAAAATAAAAAAATAAGCAAAAAATAAATGAAACTAGCATCCTACTCACAACCCTTTTGTGGATCGGACTTTGGATCCTGATCCTCTTAATCTGAAATGGTTAAATAAGAAATGAGCTACACTAGCTCAGTAAGAATATCACGCTACTCACTGACATAGAAATGAAGGTTGGTAGAAAATCAAAACAACTAATGGAGTATTTAATTAAACAAATGCATTTATTAATAATAAAACTATTTACCGTCCACTTACCGCAGCGAGATTTATAAAAACAACCTATAGAGATAATAACATAGCACTTATAATTATTTCATATGCAATCAGTAACATGCACACATTATAAATCCATAATCAATAAATCAAACAACAATTGTCTATTTCCATCAGCTTGCTGCTATCCATTGGGGTTCATATGGATGTCTCCACTACACGTGAACCCTTTTCTTTAACATTCTCAATTAACGGGTCGTCTCCATACTCCGTCTGATATGAGGGTGAAATGGGCCATCCCTATACCATGTCCGGTATGAGCACCAAATTACCAAGTCTCGATACCCCGTCCGATATGAGACAACTTTCATGGTAGGATTTCTTATTGTACTCGGTTCGTCCACAATCTCTTAAAATATCTATTAAGGCTATTGTTTCATCCATTCATTTAATCACACAATTTTTTCGTTTTTTTTAGTCTCCATTTTCTAATTTAATGGTAATCACATAAATCAAATAATAAATGCATTCAAAATTATAAAATCGATCAATGAAATACTATCCTGCTCTATTAGTAACCCGTAACTAATTATAAATATTTTTTAAATTGTACAAATACCGTATTATTGTTATTTGACTTCAGTTCTATAACAGAGTATATAATGAGAGATTATTACTCAATTTGATCCTCGAAAAACTAAACTATTAACTGCGCTTACTAGCGGTCCCCCGGTTCTCTGAATTTTTCTTCGGGAATTAAAACGCACTATAAGTATCTATAAATATCCTAAAAATCCAAAATCAGTCTCAGGATTCATTTTTGGCCAATTCTGTAATTCCAACACGGCGGCTCTGTCGTGCTCCGGTGACCGCACTGCCGCCCGTAGTAGTGGTCCACCTCAGGTCGGCTATTTTCGACCGATTTTGCATCAATCCCAGTGAAAAAATACGTTAAGGTGTCTCGATCGGCCGAAAAACACAAAAAATCAAAACTCACCGGCGGCTGGGCTCTCTGGTGCGGCGGCTCCTCTGGCTCACATTGCGGTTGGATGTTTTGCTCTGGTCAACCTGTAGAGAAGGAAACGGTGATCACAATGGTAAAACAATTACGCATAACAGAAATCGGGAAGGATCTCATCGAAGGCATTTTGTGAAATTCTTCGCGATAGCGCCGCCAGAATTCGCCCGTAGTTTTCAGCCAATCCGCCAGTCTTTTTGCTCCAACTTGGCCGTAGGGGTGTTTTTTTTTTTTATCTCTTTTGGTGGTCGTAAAGGGCTCCGGTGCGGCGGCGGGTGGCGGCAGCTTCCTTCCTGACGACTAGATCTTCTTCTCTGGCGAGGGGAGTTTGGCGGCTAGGGTTAGGATTTGGTATGAAAGTGGTTATTTATACTCGTTCTTTTTTTATCTGGGTCGTCCATCGCGTTTGATCTGGATCGTCCGATCACGATTAAATAAGGAATAAATCTGGATCATCCATTACGATCTAATCTGGGCCTTTCGATCGTATTTAAATAGGAATAAGATATGTATTATTGATCCCGTTTAAATCTGGCCATCTAATTGCGTTTGGGGAGGGAACGCATCCAGGCCGTCCGTGCGCGCGGGAACGGATATGGGCCGTTCGATCGCGGGTACGCGGATCGCCCGCATGGCACCGCGTCAGCGTCCGCTACGCAGCGCGTTCTGGTTCGTCAGAGTTGCTGACCAGGCATCCTACGTGGCATAAGTTTTTAAAACTATATTTTGACCCCCAGTTTCTGTTTTTTTTTTTTCAAAAATACCATCATAACTCAAATTTTTACCTATTTTTTTCTAAAATTGTTTTCAATTTCATTTCCCATCAAATTTTCTTCATTTTTACACTACATTAAAATTTAAAAATAAAAAATAAAAATTATATGTATAAATTAATTTTAAATTACATTAAAATTATTTTTGGGTATTACATATATATATTCAAAATTTTATCTAATAAATATTACGTTGCAAAAATAATATATGTTGAAGTTGTTGCTTTGGAGTCAATTAATAATAAGAAAACTATAATATAGTTATTACTATTGTGTATATGTATATACATATTGATAAGAAAATTAATTTTATTAATAGTATTTTATATGAGTTGTATTTGTTTGGAATTTTAAAAATAATTGAATGAATCTTTTTATAGATACTTTTGATTTGAGCACCACACTACTTTTGTGTGCTCTTTTTTTTTTTTAAGTTTATTTTTTATTATATTAAAATTAGTATCAATTTTAATTTTAAAAATAATCTTAATAAAATAATACTTTATGATTAAATTGACACCACGATAGAGCGTTAGGCTCTCTATAACATGTTATATCACTTTCATTAAAGATTACGATCTAATTTTTTTTTTTAATTTGCACTTTACATTAATTGACCAACTACATATAGTGAATTAAAGTTTTGAGCATAGATATTTGATTAATATTCAACAGATCCAGGTAATCGAAAATCTCAAACGACTTTACTTAATGATATTTTTACAAATAATTATTGTAAGCTATACAAGTTGCAAAATCTTATGTAATAATTTTAAGCTTAATTAATTGAATATTCATTGTTTGATGGCAGGAAGCATAGGAATGAACAGTAAGTCAAAAAAAATGTATAAAAAAGAGAAATTGGAATGGGTCAAGCAAACAAAATAGCTTTAATTAATGGTTAAATATTACCGCATAAATATCTTGGGTTAATTTATATTTAATTTGAGCCGTAAAGTGACTGATCAAAATAATTAAACTTCGCTGCTTGGAAAGAGACAACGATTGAATTACATTTCTTGACAATTTAAAATCGTAGGTATTAATTGATTGAGGTAAGTTTTCTGGTTAGATAGTTTTGTGTAGGTCATGTATTAGCATGTTATTAGTTAAAATATATTAATTTTTATTTTAAAATTAATGAATAAAATACACTATAGATAATATAAATATGAATAATGTTAAGAAAAAATAGTTTTGGATACGGCACATAATATTACAAAGTAAATAGTAAAAGACAGAAAAAAAAAAAACAGAAAATTTTACATGTTTTGGCAAAAATATGTACTTCTTAAAAAAAATTTTACTAATGAAAGTTGTAAATCCTAATACACTAAAAATACTAAAGTTTTTTTAAACCAATGTCAACTGATTTTTAATATGACCAAAATATTTATAATATTAATTAAATAGATATTCAAATTACATCAACAAATAAAATAAAATATTATAATTTTTAACACTAAAAAATAGGAATATTGACCCATTGCCATCATTTTTAATTTAAGAATATGATTTATTACATCATGGGGGGGGGGGGGGGGGAAACCATCAAAAAATAAAGAATTATTTAGTATCATATGTTAAAAATATTTTTATTATAAAGTTATTGGACAAATAACTAATTGGACAAATAAATTAAGATGTCAAACAAATTTAATGGTCATTTTGGGCCTTGGTAATATTTGGGCCAGAAAAAAGCCCATTTCAAGGTAGCTGCAGTATCTTGTCATCCACCTGACTCTCACTGTAACATTTCTCAGAGACTTCCTCCTCCTCTATCCCCAGCCTCTGTCTCTTCGTCTCAAACCCGATCTATCGGTTGTTCTCCTGTAAGCTTAATTTTGTGAAGCTGTCAAGAGCAGAGACATAGAGAGGTAACCGAGGAAAATAAAATGGTGAGAGTAGCAACATATTTCGCTATGACATTTGGAGCCTTCATATTCTGGCAATCGATGGAGAAGGTCCACGTCTGGATCGCTCTTCATCAAGACGAAAAGGTCCAATTTTCTTTTCAATACTTTCTTTCCCTCCTAATGTTCTTTTATGTAACGGCTTAAGTTTTCTAATTCCTCTTGTACTCCCTATTCTTAGTCATCGATTTAGGCGTGAAAACCCTAGGTTATTGAATTTTAATCTGTTTATACCGTACGCCTAATGTACTTGATGATTATTTAATTACTCCAACAGCGAATCACCAAATTGATCTCTGAAACGCCTAATATACTTGATGTTCAACCTTGATTTGTTGGGTGTTTATGATAATTCTCGTGCTAGATTATTGAACTTATGTGATGTTATTAGTTGCATAACTGAACCATGTGGTTTGGTATGTTCCATGCGCATTGTGATGACAAATGCGTTGTTCTGCTTTCTCTTTTTGTTATAATTTGTCTCTTTTGCATGTATTGTTGTTAAAATGATTTCTTTCTCGTTGTTTATGTTGAAGTAATAGAAAGAACGAATGGAGAAGGAAGCGGAGATCAGGAGAGTTAGAGAACAGTTGCTTCAGCAAGCTAAGGAAAAAGATTCTCTTGCATAGTTTTGTTTATCTAATTGCAATTGCTCTTTGTACTTGCTATTATGGTTTTTTGTTTATTTCACCTTGAATTATTAACGTTTTGGACTCAAGAAAGTCCTCATAAGAAAGCACATAAAGCTGCTGCATATCAGACGATGATTTCCCTGAACGTCATGTTAATGTTTCCTTCTGCTTTATTGGGTTAGCTCTGCATTATGGAGACTGTAAGTTACATTTGAAGTTTCTTCATATTCTTGTCTTGTATTCTGTAGCTTAGGGGAATGATTCAAGCACTTTTTCCTCATGGATGAATACTGCTTGTCTACAAATTCTATGGGTTTATGTATGAGCATGTAAATCCTCGCTACCAAATTCGGTATGACGTTGAGAGAGGTTACCATCAATCTTTATGTAAGGAAATCAACTCAACT